TTAGCTTTGTGGTATATTACACACCTTCTCGAGATTCTGAAAAACAAAAGAAGAAATGGAAAAAGAATAACAAAGATTAACAATAAAAAATGAACATCAACAATAATAAAAATAATATAACAATGAAGAAAAAATATCAATAATAACATAAGAATAAAAATAATAACTAATCACAATAAATAACAATAAAAATAATAACGGAATATTATGATATTTACAAACCACAATAGTAGGGATGGCAATGGGGCGGGTTTTGCGATCTCCATCCCCGTCTCGCTTTGGAAATTTCCATCCCCGTCAAAAATCATCACGGGTATTAAAAGAATCCCCATACCCGCCCCATAAAATCCCCACGGGTATCGGGGCGGGTAAAAATCCCCATCCATTTTTTTTTCTTTTTTTTCAATAAATAAATATGCAATCTACTTATAATTTAAAGGCTTATTTCAATAAATAAACTAATATTTAATTATAATACTAATATTTAATTATATAATCGAAACCTAAAAATCCTCATTTATAGTTAATATTTAATATATTACTATTATTTAATTGTTTATATTTAATATAATAATTAATAAATATATATTATATATATAAATAATGCTGGGCGGGTACGGGGACGGGTACGGGGCGGGTATAGGTAAACCCATCCCCGTATACCCGGTAAAAAAAAAATTCAATCCCCATACTCGTCCCATTTCTTTTCGGGGCGGGGCGGGGTGGGAATCCATCGGGGCGGGTCAAATTGCCATCCCTACACAATACGTATTTTACGAAAAATAAGAAAGACATAATGAAATGGAAACAAATTTAGAAGAATGAAAAAAAATAACAACAAATAATGAAAATTAATATCAAGAAAAAAGAAATAACATCGAACTCCAATTAATGTTCTTAGGATGAACAAATAAAAATTCGAAGGAGAAAAAAATAGGGGAATAAATCATGAAAACAAAGCAAACAAAAAAAACCGATGGGTTATGAGCCGGCGATATAAAAATATGAGTGAAAATAATGGAGTATTTATAGTGTTTTTTAGATGTGGTGTAAAAAGATCTTTTCAGGTTTATACATGTTAGGCAATTATATTATAAATTGATATTAACAATTTAACATAATTAGGGAATTAATAGCTCAAATTTATGGACTGATTGATGATTGATTGTAGTAAAAAATTAATCGAAAATCGTGATTGGTATATTATATTGGAAATGTTGGTTATTAACATAATAATTTAAATTCTTAATTTTAAAAACCGGATATAAATTATTGGCTATAGAAAGTGATTTTTTGGTTATTGGTTATAGGAATCAATTATGTGTATAGATAAAAAATTTTGAAAACTTTCTTTTTTGAGTCATAAATTAAAATGTTAAAATGAAATAGAAAATAATTTATTTATTGATTTAGGTATAGCGTATACGTGGATATGCATATATTTAAAGAAACTGAATGTATAAAATGAAAACTTGGACATAAAAGTATATACGTAGTAATTAAAAGAAATTATAATGCCAAGTGAAAATTAAATGAAAATTGTGGGGTTAAAAATTAGAAATGACAATCCTTAATTGTGGCTTTTGTCTTCATATATTATATAGATTCCCCTTACAAAAAACACATGTTTGTATTACTATTTACAATATAACAAAAGACGGAATTTGTGGATTGAAAACATTGTGTAATTCTGTAAAATTATACTATCCAAATCAAACATTAATCATTCACTTTCATTCTTCCATTATTATAATTTTCAATAACTATTAATGAGATTTAGTTAATTGATTCATTAATTATAATATTACCATTAATATAACCAATTAAAAACTAAAAATCTCAATCGATCATTTATTTTAGTTGGTAAAACAAATCCGGTCATTATGCAAATTATATCTTTCAAATTAATATAAAGAATAATTTTATACTTATAAAACATGATAATGTAATAATAAAAAATATAAAATTTATAAATTATTCATATATAATTTATTCACATAGATTAAAATATGTGCACAATACCCATTTGTGTGTCAAAACATTATCTATATTTGCAAAACGAAACAAATAACTAAAAAATAAGATAGATCAAAAAAAGATTTTACACGAAACAAAGATTATGAATTAATAATACACCAAACATGACAAAAATAAAAGAAAAAGAAAGTAGCGATGATTGAATGTCGAGAGAATGTAAGAAAATCGTAATTCTCATTGAAACAGTATCAAGTGAATAAGGATACAAAATAAATTTTATAATGTGACATTTAATGTAATAGATTCTTTTAATTGAATTAGTAGACAAACAACATAATGTATATGCGAAAGACTTTTATTAATTGTTTGCAATAATATATCATCTTAAAACTATTTACTATCAATAATTAGTGCGACAAATAGTTTCACATATTTTTGTAACCTATTAAAAAGAAGGGAAGATAAGCCTAGTAGTAAAACTACCACAATTTCACTATAATAATTTTGCAGTAAAACTTCACTTGGATCCCATTTCTCTCACTTCTGCATAACCAAAAAAATAAAATAATATATCAAATTGTCTTAATAATGCAAATATGTAAAAAAAAAAAAAATCAAAACAAACTACAGAAAACTACATTATAAAATATTCATATCATAAGAAAATATTGAGTACTAAAATAAATAATTGTAAAGAAAAAATGTAAGCAAACCGTGTTGATGAATTATGTATGGTCGAAATTGGATTCGTGAAAATAATCTGCAAGAAATACATAAAGCATATTACATGTTATTATTTAACTAAATACAAATATAAAATGGAGTTGAAACATATAAAACAATTATGAATACATAAATATATAATACCAACACAAAATAAAAGAAGAGAAATGCACATATTTAAAATAATTCTGACAACATATTTTTAGTATCAGTATTGACTTCAACATATTTATGTATATATAAAATTAATTATGAATATAAAACTATGCATATATACTTATAATAATTTATAAGAAATGATAAAAAAAAATGTAATATGAAACTGTATAATACGAACATTGTGCACTTTGTAATCGAATGGTGGTAGAAAAAAATGAAATGAACATTGAGGGGTTTATATAGTATTGAAAATGAACTTAATTCTATGGAAAATTAAAAATTCAAAAGATTTATATATTAGTAAACGAAATCAAATCAAACAAATAAGGGAAACAACCAAAAAAAATAATAATAACTTGTGGAAAAAAATATTGCAATATAAAAACATTAAATATGAAGATACGATTTTTATTTTTTACCATTCAATTTTGAATTAAAGTATAAATTAAATCAATCAAAGATGATATGATGGAATCTTGGAATATTAAAGATTCCTTTACATTGGTGATTTGATATTTTATTTGAAATAATAATTAATAAATATAATGCATAATCCGTTTTATAGTTCGGACCATATTATATATTAAATAGTGTTCTCCAAATATACAACCAACTACTGCATTTAGAATTAATCCACCGTGCATTGCATATTTATTAAATAATATAATTATTTTTAATTTGAAATATGGTATAATAAAAATTATATAAAAAAATAGTGTAAATTTATTAAATACTTCAATTAAAAACTTAAACATTTTTTTATTATTATTTTTAATGGAATGGATATTCGAATATTCTAAAATATTGAAAATTAAAAAAAAAAAAAAAACAACAACAACAACATATTCCTTTATTTTAATATTTTAGTATTTAAAAAAAATATTTTTTTATGAAAATTATTTGAATATTCGTAAAACAATTGAGTTTCATGAATTTATTTGAATAAATATATTTTGAAATACTGAAAATATAAATAAGATTTTTTTATTTCGAATTTATAAAATATTAACTTTGGAAATAATATATATACATGTGGTAATTATTAAATGATTGTGTAAATGTAAAATAGGAAAAAACTTAAAAACATCCATAAATAAAAATGCCACCTAATCAATTGCAGAATCCACCTAATCAATTGAACTCCAACTAAGCAATTTTGACAAATGACATCATCATTTGCCACATGTCAATCATTGAGGGCATAGATCCTCTTTTTATATTATATATAGATTTACGCGGATTCAAATATGCTACATTTGAATTTTAGAGAGTTTATTTCCAATTTCTGATTCAATTGCAATACGAATTTCAATTTTCGAACATGTTTTCTCATACTATTTTTTTTTTCTAAAAAAAAAGAATGAAATTGGAATTTGTTTTCTTACTTTCTTTTTTGTTAATTTGTTTTTATGAAAGTGCTAATTTCGATCATTCCTATGCATATGGATTATTTTTGAAATGTACCATTTTTTTATCCCTATGTGTATGTACATATACATATAGAAAGGGAGAAACAAAGAGCTAATGAATTTAATACAAAGAACTATTTTCAAAATATTTCCGAATGAATATTTTCATTGCTCAAATTTATATTTACGTTTTAATATAGATATTGTTCAGATTTGTCTTTTCGTATCTGTATTTTTGTATGTTGATGAATGAGTATTTTCTGCACTCAAAGTCCTCACGGATTCAAATCCAAACTGATTTCATTTGTAATAAATATTCTTGACAAATTTCTGATTTATGATGAAGTTATTTCGGCTGAGTTTGGTGTGATTTTTAGTTCCATTTTATTGTGGCCAAAATGCATCCGAGCATCATCATCCTTGGACAGGATCTCGTATAGCACGGTTTTCCGATAATCAATAACAATAATAATATCTATAACAATAACAATGATATGATTATGAATCGATTAGAACAACCATTTGGCCATGATCAATATGTCCCCAACTAACCCTATTTAAAATGATCTCCTAACAAAATGGACGGTTGTGATGTTCTTATACACATTTGTTTAACACATTGATCAAAGGTTTAGATTTATTATACTTTCCAAAATGTTTGAAAAGTAATCCAGAATAATCCAAAATGAAATAAAAATATCCATTCTTCTAATCAAACCCTAATTTCTTTACAATTGTATCTCTCTCTTGCACCTTCCCCTCCAATTTCAATTTGCGCCATGGCAACAAGTACTCTCTCACTTCTAATCATTACCTTTTATGAATTCATAGTTACAAATATTTCACTTTGATTTCATCTTCTTCTGCGCAGGATTGCAATTCGAGAACAATTCCGAAATTGGGGTTTTCTCCAAGCTCACGAATGCCTACTGTTTGGTTGCAATTGGGGGTTCTGAAAATTTCTACAGGTTTCATTTATTCATCACGTGCTTATACTACTCAGTTATGTATCTATACTTTGTATATACATGTATGTATATATTTTTTGAGACTCGATTTTTGGTGCCAGCACATTTGAGTCGGAGTTGGCCGATGTAATTCCGGTGGTTAAAGCCTCCATCGGCGGCACTAGAATCATCGGCCGCCTCTGTGCCGGTGAGTTCAGTTTTTTTTTTTTTTTTTTTTTTTGATATTTAATTTATTTTTTATTTCTCAGAGAAAATAAAAAAATACTCCATTTGCAGGAAATAAAAAGGGGTTGCTTTTGCCGCACAATACAACCGATCAAGGTGATCGATCCTTTTACGTTGTACATATTCGTATTTTTATGCTTTTAAGACATTTAATTAGTACGATTCGTTTCTCGGGTTTAAGAAGATCAGTACTCATTAATATAATGCACTATGTGACTATGATTCCTCGTTTTATGTCTCTACTCTTGTATATTCGTTATATCGAGAAATTTTCACTGAGGAAGTTAAAATTCGATTGTCTTTTGTGGTCGATCAAGTTTTCACTATAAGAACTAAAGTTATTGCATTTTGATTTCGTCGGTTTCTAATTTTTCGAGACTTGATGTTGATACCTATAATCTGCTAAATATAGAGCTTCAACACTTGAGGAATAGTGTACCGGATTCAGTCGTTGTTCAGCGTATTGATGAGAGGTTGTCTGCTCTAGGGAACTGCATTGCATGCAACGATCATGTTGCTCTTACACATCCTGATCTCGACAAAGTAAATATTTTCGTATATTTTTTTAACTACCTATCTTTTTTGTCTTGCTTTTGTTCGATGATTGCGTAACTTGCTTCGTTTTGTGGAAAGCCCGTTCTGGTTTTCATCTTCATTTGCATCTTTCATTTCCATCTCGTTTAGATCAATCTCCAACTTATTGGAATTTGTGTGGATATGAATGAATTTTTTTAGGGTGTGTTTGGCGTCTTCCCGTAATTTTGTCTAAAAAAATGTGCTTTATTTCTTAATTTCTGCATATGTTTGTTAGTTAGTTGTTGCATATTTGCTTTCATTGTGACGCTAATGATTATTGGTCTTAAAAACGTATCTAATTAGACATGTGGAAGTTACTAATGTTCGATATTGTTGCCAGGAAACTGAGGAAATGATTGCTGATGTTCTTGGAGTGGAAGTTTTCCGACAGACTGTTGCCGGTAATATGCTCGTCGGAAGTTTTTGTGCACTCACCAATAGAGGTGGATTGGTAAGATTTTATTTTATTTTTCAGGACTCAGAAGTATACAGTAGAATCTTGATAAATTAATAACCTCGATTAAATAATAGTTTCTCTCAGTCCTGACTCTATGAAAACGTGTTAAATTATTAACTCGATAATTTAATAATTCGCTAAATTAATAGAATTTCTCTAGTCCCGACTCTATTAATTTATAGAGGTTTAACTGTATATCCCCATTTTCTTTATGCTCGCCGCATTCTCAACAAAATTGTAAATTAATTAACCCTTTTTTTTTTGGAATTTTTGGGGAGTAGGTTCATCCACATACATCGATAGAGGATCTAGACGAACTATCGACACTACTTCAAGTACCTTTGGTGGCCGGCACCGTGAATAGAGGTAGTGAAGTCATAGGAGCTGGTTTGATCGTCAATGATTGGACGGCCTTTTGTGGGTCCGACACAACTGCTACCGAGTTATCTGTTCTCGAGAGTGTTTTCAAGTTGAGAGAAGCTCAGCCCACTGCTATTGTCGATGAGATGAGGAAATCATTGATCGACACCTATGTTTGAGCTTTTCCAAAACTCTCGGATTTTCCTTGGAAAGCTTTGTGATTTGGTTTTAACGCAGTTTCGGTTTTATGGGCATTGTTTGTTTCATTCTATATATATAAGCCCTGGAATTACAGACACCTTATTATCTCAATTTTGTGTTATTAGTTCCCTAATTCAAAAAAAATATATATAATGTTGTTTTGGGAAAACTTTGGTGAACTGCTATAGTGTGGTTTACGTTTCTCGTATGGTTTGTAAATAAAATTTGAGGTGCACCATTGTGTTTCAAGAAACCAAAACATATTCAAAATGTTACAATGTCAAAATTTGGACAAAAAACAATAAATACAAAATGACTATATATGTATATATTCAAACATCTGTAATTTTAATGTTGGAAATCTGCACAATCTTACACTCGAAATAGATGTTGATGCAATAAATTGTTCAAATTTGTGCATACATACCCCACAAAATTATAATTATAACGGTATTATTAATTTTGCGCAGAAAAATGTACACAACGGGTTACTAATCTTGCGCAAGCAATGTACACAAATGGGTTATTAATCTTGCGCAAAAAATGTACACAACGGGTTTTTTTTTCCGCAAATTAAATACACACAGCAATATGTTCTTTATGTAATTATATATTTTCATATAAAATAGGAATGAAGCCATTCAAATAGCCAAAATTGATTCAGATTAAGATTGTGCATCCCACTAATATAATAATGATTATTATTGCTTTGTTGTTATTGTTATCATTATTATTTTTTGGATTAATTTTTTTAACCATGCATATATATGGTGTTGGGTGTGACAGATAATACGGGGATGTGGTGGAGCAAGTATATGTTCGCCCGTCGACAACAACCCTACGGAGATCCCAATTTCGGAAAGATTATATTCAAGTTTTCGGATTTTCCGAGGTATACAATGGGGAATGAAGATTGGGGGGAGACATGTTTGGTTTAAATCCTATGTGCCTCAAAATCTCAGACATCAACATTAACAGAGATCATATATAACTTCTTTCTTTTATCTGTTGTTTATTTTATTTATCTTTTTATTTTAATTTATTTATCTTTTATTTTTGTTTTAGTTGATCAGATTGTCATGTCTATATGAATTAAAATATTAAAGTGGGAGAAAATGAAGTGCAACTTTAGTTAAGAAAGATGGAGTGAAACACTAACATAAGTTATGTTCAGAACATGAGCAAAATTAGTGCAAGAAATGTACATTTTTACGATGCGATATACGGTGAAAATAATAATTAGTTTAATGCATGATATGAAATTAATTATTAAATAAATGAAGAAAAAGGAATTAGAGAAAATAGGCTGCAAAATAGGAGATAAAATTAATAATAATAATAATTAAAAGAATGTAGGTGCAATGGATTGGGATTGTGTCAGCGGATATTTGGTGTGAAAGTAGTTTGAATAAAAAATGGCTGCAAAATTGGAGATACTACAATCTACACACACACACAAATTAATATTTTCTTTTACAAGTATGCCATTAAATATTTTAAGCTGCCATAACGTTTCTTTTTTTTATATCTAGTATACTTTTCTTGAGCGATGCACGGGGTGACATTCTAAAAGTGAAGAAAATAATGACAAATACACGAAAAAAAATGAGCATATTTGAAGAAAATATTAAGTGGAAAGTCATCAAAAAATAGGCGAAAAATAGGAGTTAAATAATAATAATAAGAAAAAAATAGAAGTTGTGGATTATGAATTTATGATTGTGGTAGTTGAGATTTGGTGCGTAAGTAAATAAAATAAGGCGACGGATATATGCAAACTCATTTTTTTTTATTAGTTCAAACACACATAAAGGGGTTTATTAGTTCAAGCCCGTAAATTAATCTAATTTTATTACATCAAGATCAAAGAGAACGAATATAGCCGTATCCACAAATAATACCCAAATACAAACAAACCATATTTTTAATTTGTTCAAGACCGAAAAAAAATAAATAAATAAAAACTCACGGCTGTCGCACGACTGCCGGGGCCAGACCGCGGCGACGCCAACCAGCAAGACTTTCACCGCATCGGCGACGATCAGCTACCCACCCACCGCACTATCACCACCGTTTTACAGAACTTTTGTTTTTAAATTCGAAAACATTAATCGAGCATCGATTCTCGATAAATATGCGTGGATGAACATCAATCTATGCTTACTTCTTGTTGGGTTACAATGCTTTAGTTGATTTTGGGAAAAAAAAATTGAAATTGAAATTGGTTTCGTTGGTTTCCCGAATTGGATTACCCAGACTTTGTTGGTTTTCCAATTCGGTTTACCTAGACCAATTTTGTACACGAAAATCGGCGTCATAATGCCGATTTTTGTTAACCAAATCGGCGACACAAAGTTGAACTTTACAAGTCAAAATCGGCGTTGCAATGCCGATATATATTTTTTTTAATGTTTTGTATTTTTTATTTAATTTTGAATTTCATTAATGGTAAATTAGTATTTTTATATTAGAAGTCTTGAACTAATAAAAAAACGGACTTACATATATCCACCGCCTAAAAGTAAATATAAAAGTCACAAATCTTTCATTAGAGTTTCTTAGGTTGACTTATCATTTCTTTGTTATATGCGGGCCCAATTTGTTGCGCGTGAGCATAGGTACCAAATTCATCTATGTTGATTTACAACATATTCGCATTTCCTTTCAACATTTAAAAATAAGTATTTAAAACCAACTTAACTCACAATTATTAACTCTGTAGACTATTTACAGTTGTCGTAACAGGCTAGGCGAAGCACCCATCTCGCATGATTTAATTGCGAGTATTAACCACTCATCACTTCCTGTTAAAACTTGCCTGAAGGATCATGCTTTTAATTATTGCTAATCACCCCGTTTTATAGTAATCCTACACGGGCATTATCTCTTTCCACATCCGATGTGGGAAAAAGTGAACATATTTCAAACACAACTTTATACTACTTTTTAAATTCATATAATAATCTATTTCAATAATGTGTTCCTTTTGTATTTTAAATTGTTTCATTACGTTAATTTTAAATTATTCAATAATCTTGTTTAAATTATATTTCTTTTCCAGACCCGACTCATTAACAACATGCTAAACTAATAATTCGTTATATTTATAAGATAATACATATTTTAAAATTCGTCCCTACCGAATATATAAATTAACAATACCTAGAAAAAAACGATTTCAATATATAGTATGTTACATCTATGATAAAATATATAAGGACTCAACGGAATTTGATTCTATTTTCTTTTATTTTTTGTTGAAGTTTACCTAATCAATCATCTTCGATTTCAACTATCACTTTTCTTAATATAGTAACAATTTTCGGTATACTTTAATCATAGCAAAAAAAAATGTTATATTCAAATAACATTGTTGTTTAAAGAGCCTCCTCCCGAGAAAAGGGCGTTGGAGTAGAATTTCATCATCTTTATCGGTTGCCATGATGTTCTCAAACATTATTCGTCGGTCACTATCTTTACAGTACGTTATTTTTCTGCAAGGTATTCAATATTCATTTTGTTACGATAATTTAACCCATTAATTAGATTTTGTAATTCTCGGGTCATTTCACCATTTAATGGTTCGCCCATTAAATTTAAAATAAAATTTATTTATAATCATAATGATAAATACTAATACTAATATTAGTATTACCCGACCGGTCTGACCAAACCATTTTTTATTTTATTTTTTATTTTTTCTCCTACGGTGACCTGGGCTGTCGGAATTCCTATTAACTGACTCACTCAGTATTACTTAACCAACATTAGTTGATATTCCATTTTTTTGTTTCCTCCGATGACGGATCATTGGAGTTATGATTAGCTGACTTCAACACTAAAAAAATCGTATCGGCTAATACTTAGTCAGCTAACCGGAGCCCCAAAGACCGTCGTTGAGAAAAAGAGTTCAAAGAAACAAAAAAGGCTTTACTAAAAAAAGAGTTGAAAAGAGTAAAACGAGTATGAACTAATTATTTAAGTTTATATCAAATGAAATTTACAATAAATGAATTTTACTAAAAAAACATTAAAATACTTGAACCGGAGTGAACCGGCGGGCCGATCCGGCCCGCCGAACCGTGCGTAGTATGGACCGGTTCCGATTCCGGAAAAAGTGAATCGCGAACCGAAGTGAACTGGCCCGAACCGGCCCATGGCCGTGTCTACACACACAAAAAAAATCCTAAATCAAATGAGTAAATTCCCACTTTAGTTGTCATTAATATTGAAATTGAAAATTTGAAATAAAAATAAATCAAATAGCATTAATATCAGTTTTCATTCACTGTATCTTTTTTCTTTTAGAGAATATATGTTTTAATTTTTATTTACTGTTTTTGGAAAAAAGGTCAAAGCAAAGAAGTCTCCCTGATAGTGACGTCACACCTCTCTGGTATTCTTTTCCCGGAGATCATCTGCTTTCTGTTCATCCGTTTCATAAGAGCAACAAGGTATAAACAAATATTTTAACCTCAATTAAATCTGCATTTGCTATATTTTCATTTATATATATATTTTTAATTTCCTTGTCAAATAATTTCAATTATCCAAGTTCACTCTCTTTTTTTTTGTCACTTTCACACTTCGAATTCCAAGTTGTTTCTTGGATTTCTGCAGGTTTAAGCATCTGGGTATCTCTTGTTTTAGTTAAAGATTGAATCTTTTTTCGAAAACCATTTATACATATTCTAATTTATTTATCAAAAAAAAATTAATTTTTTTAGGGGTTTATGCAAAATTTGATTGCCATTTTTTTTTTTGTATCTAGTCTAGATTTTCCGATTGTACGGTGTCGGGGTTGATCCTACCGCATAAAGCTTCGATCTTGTCGAAAAAAATGCCTTGTTCAATATTCATTGTGTCTTAAGACAAAAATTGTATAGATATTACATCATTCTTTGGTAATAATGTTTAGCAACCGTTTTTTCGCTTAGTTTACGGATCATACAATTTGCGATCATTTAATATTTTTCACTAGTTGTGAATTCGTTTTCGCCGTTTCGAGGACTTAATTGCAAACATGTGTGAATTCGATATTGATTGATCATATTTTCTATATGTGCTCTTAAACTTTTTTTTTTTGTTTTTGTTTTTTATAGAGGACTACGAGTATCAGCCGAAGATTTATTTGCTCGGTGGCGGCAAAATCGCTACCGAAGAATCGAATATGGATTCACTAAAAGAGATCTTTCTAAAGGATTACAAGCAACCTGATTACTTCTTCGACACGGTGATCCCATACGCATCTTTAATTCAAGATCGTTTCTTTCTAGTTCTACATAAATTTCCGACTTTTGTTTGCTCGTCACTAACGAAAGCACACGATTGTGTCTTAGGTGGACTTGAAGTTTACATTGAGCGAGGAAAAAACAATTGTTTTTTCCAAGATTGTCGTCTATCCTCGACTTGAAGGTATCTCATTCTTTCATTTATTCCAATTCTTCGCGAAAGATCAAAAATTATGTATCTATCTTAACCGTAAAATATTTTCAAAACCCGATCATGTGATCGTACAGGTTGTTCTGCACCACTTGTTTTGGATGGGATAGATTTGAAACTGATTTCATTAAAGGTCAACGGCGACGAGTTGAAGGTACGTGGTATATACATTTGCTTCCTAAAAAAAGAAACAAAATCGGACATTGATTCAATGATGTGTATCTAATTGTTTCGATTTTCATTTAATGACTTCGATTTTGACTAGTGGCGGTACTTTGTACGTGTGATTAATAACTATAGTTTATGCGCTGACTTTTTTATTTATTTGACTCTGTATTGCCTAATGAAATGAAAATTAACCATATTTTAGGTGGATGATTTTCATCACGACGCACGCCACCTCACTTTATCCGCACCTCCAAGTGGTAAATTTACGTTGGAAACCGTCACCGAAATTTCCCCACAGACAAACACGTCTTTAGAGGTCCTGCCTGAAATTTACACTGAATTTATCATTAAATTTTTAATATATGTATTTATAATTTATTTTTTCGATTTCTCATTAAGTCTGCAATGGACGATTCTTGAATTTGCAGGGGCTTTACAAGTCATCGGGGAACTTCTGCACACAATGTGAAGCACAGGGTTTTCGTAAAATCACGTTCTTTCAGGTTCTTTTATTTAAATTTTATTCTAACTTTTGCAGTTTTATATAATATCTTCTAATATACGGCCACAAACTTTAGGATCGACCTGATATAATGGCGAAATACACTTGTCGTATCGAAGCCGACAAATCATTGTACCCCGTTTTATTGTCTAACGGGAATCTCATAGAGCAAGGAGAAATCGAGGTGAACTTTTTCTTTATTTCTAATTTTTCAACATGGTTTTTTTCGTACGAAATTTTAATTTTGATTCGAGTATTTTTTATGCATTAATCGTAGGGGGGCAAGCATTTTGCTGTATGGGAGGATCCTTTTGTGAAACCGTGCTATCTTTTTGCATTAGTTGCCGGAAAGTTGGAGAGTAGAGACGATACTTTCATAACTCGTTCGGGTCGAAAGGTCTTGCTTAGAATTTGGACACCTGTCGAAGATTTGCCAAAGACGGCCCACGCCATGTATTCTTTGAAAGCTGCTATGAAATGGGACGAAGATGTAAAATGATCTTTTGTTTTACGTAGCGTTTTTTTGAGGATTCTCGTAATCTTGATTTATTTATCTGTTTATTCGTTTTCTTTTGATATTCAAATTAGGTTTTTGGACTCGAATACGACCTGGATCTCTTCAACATTGTAGCCGTTTCGGATTTTAACATGTTAGTTCATCCCCGACATTGAATGCTCATTTTTCATGTGATTAACGGGTTTTTTTAATATTTATCTTATATAATTTTTTTTTATTTATTTATTCTGACAGGGGTGCAATGGAAAATAAGAGTTTAAATGTAACGCCGGAAGCTACCACACCATCTTTCGATCTCGTATATCGATCATATTTCATTTTCCGATAATATTATTTTGATTTTTTTTTTTTGCAGATATTTAATTCTGAAGTTGTGTTGGCATCGCCTGAAACTGCAACTGATGCAGATTACGCCACGATTTTGGGTGTGATTGGCCATGAGGTGTGTCGTTTTTGCACGAGTATTTCAATAAAACATTTTTTTCAATTTTTTTTTGTAAATTCGACGACAGTGTCTTAATTAATATCAATTGCATGTCCGTATTTGCAGTATTTTCACAACTGGACAGGAAACAGGTCAGCCTGTATTTTCTGTCGTCTCTTTGAAATCAATTTATTTTTCGTTTTTTCTTTAGTGTCTTAATTAAGATATATATATATATATATATATATAAATATATAACTTCTCGAACTTGAGTTGACATTAAACCAAATTTCTAGAGTGACGTGTCGGGATTGGTTCCAGCTTAGCTTAAAGGAAGGCCTCACTGTTTTTCGGGATCAGGTAGGATGAATTTATATATTTATCGAATCTATTTATTTAATTATTATTATTATTTTTTATATAAATATGCTGCTGTCGAATTTCCAGGAGTTTTCATCTGATATGGGAAGCCGTACAGTGAAACGGATAGCTGATGTTACAGGAGTCCGAACATATCAGTTTCCCGAGGTACCGAAAAAAACACAATTTATTCATTTTTTTTTCCATTCATTAAAATGTTAATTATTTCATTTATAGCTATGAAAAAAACAGAATTTTATATAATTATATGATTTTAAGAGGCATATAATTAGCAATGGCTTTCACTTCGACTCGATTCTTGAGCTCTACCCTTTTCGTAATACTCACAAACAATTATCTTGATTTTCTAGGATATGGGCCCCATGGCGCATCCCGTTCGACCTCACTCTTATATAAAGGTTAAACACTTTTTTTTTCTATTCCAAAAATACCCTTTTATGTAATATTGTTTACATTACTATTTTCCATTTTTTCTTTGGCAGATGGATAACTTCTATACAGGCAAGTGTCGTATTTCTCCGTCTTGTATTGGACATGATATTGTTTTTCGTTCGTTACCTACAATTTTCAGTTCATAATTTTCTCTACTTTCGTAAGTCTGATTTTTGTAATAATTTTTTCGCTGTCACTTGTACTGAAATTCGACGGTTGACCTTGCACCACATTGCAGCAACGGTACGCCCGTTTATTGCCTTTCGTCATTTATTTTTTATTTTTTATTATTATTTTCGGGTTAATGACTAACTGCCCTTTTTGTCTTTCTTGCTTCTCTTATTTTCAGGTGTATGAAAAGGTTTGCTTTTTTCTTTTTTATATATTTTTTTTTTGGCCTTTTTGCATGAGCACTAAAATAATAAACTATTTATTATCGATATGATTTATTTATTTATTAATATCAGGGAGCCGAAGTGGTGAGGATGTACAAAACATTATTAGGTGCTCCCGGGTTTAGGAAGGTCTGGAAAAAAAAAAACATATATAAGTTTTATTGGTGCTTCACAAAATATATTATTATCTATAAATAATAGGATTAATTATATTTATTCCACATTTTCTTAGGGCATGGATTTATATTTTAAGAGGCACGACGGTCAAGCTGTGACGTGCGAAGACTTCTACTCTGCCATGAGAGATGCAAACGATGCCGATTTCTTCAATTTCTTGTTATGGTGCGTTATTCGTAACGCTTCCATTTTTTTCTATTACTCTTATATATTTTTTGCTTTTTTTTTTTTTTTTTTTTTTTTATTTGGATAAAATAATTCATTAGGTACTCGCAAGCTGGAACACCTTGTCTGAAGGTTGTTACCGCATACGATGCACAAGCCAAGTCGTATTCTCTCAAATTTAGGTAATCTCGTCTTGCCATTTTTTTTAAAGTCATTTTATTACATAAATTGCCATGTGTTTTATTTTTCTTAACTAAACTCGTTCGTAACTAAAGTGGTTAATTATATATGGCACATTTTCCAAGGATTAATCACAAGGGTAATTTATTCATTTAACACTCGGTATTCTTCCGAAAACCAAGCACGTACGCACATTTGCCGAGTGAAATACACGCTCGTAGATCTAAATATTCCAACACTCTCAAAGAAAAATGAAACGAAAATAAAATAGCCGGAAAATTTACGAACATAAAACAATTTAAATTCCGATTTATTGTAACATGATTCAATTTGCAGTCAAGTGGTCCCACCGACCCCAGGACAGCCTGTCAAAGAGCCGATGTTTATTCCTGTAGCTGTCGGTCTTGTTGGCCCCAACGGAAAGGATATTCCTTTATCCTCCGTTTACCATGACGGAAAATTGGAGACTATTACGAAAGATGGTCAACCGGTCAACACTACCGTTCTCAGAGTCACAAAGGTTAGTTAATAAAAAATAAAAAAAAATTGAACTATTTTTAGTGCCTTGGCAAAATTATTGTATTTATTCTGCCAATTTTTCCGTTGATCTGATAGTGTGTGTGTGTGTATATATATATATATATATATAGTACAACCTCGATAATTTACTAAATCGCTAAGTTAATAGCATTTCCGTAGTCCCGACTGTATTAATTTATAGAGGTTCAACTGTGTGTATATATATATATATATATATATATATATATAATTTTTTATTTTTCTTTTCGAGCAGAAAGAAGAAGAATTTGTGTTTAGTGATATACGAGAATGTCCAGTGCCGTCGATATTAAGGGGCTACAGTGCTCCGATTCGATTGGATTCCGATCTAACCGACGCTGATCTTTATTTCCTCCTTGCTAATGATTCTGATGAATTCAATCGGTACGTATCGAGAATTAATAAGTAAAAAAAGAATATTTATTTAATTAATTAGCGTTACGAGGATTTTAAGCTTTTTTTTTTTGGTGCATTAGTTGGGAGGCTGGGCAGGTATTGGCAAGAAAATTGATGCTAAGTTTAGTATCGGATTTTCAGAAAAACGAGAAGTTGGTTCTCAACCCACAGTTCTTGCTTGGAGTCAAAAGTATACTTTGTGACTCGAGCTTGGATAAGGTATGTAAAAAAATCGGTCGAACTTCTTCATTTTTTTCCGAATAAGAAAGTATATTCTCTAATTTTATTTTTTTTATTTAAAAAAAAAAAAAACAGGAATTCGTTGCAAAGGCAATAACTCTGCCCGGTGAAGGAGAAATCATGGACATTATGGAAATTGCGGATCCCGATGCAGTTCATGCAGTTAGAACTTTCATCAGAAAACAGCTTGCAACCGAATTAAGAGACGAGTTTCTTAACACGGTACTTATATTAATATTTATATAATTATTATTTTTTTAAAATATTGGGGGGAAATTAATTATTTCATCTTTTAAATTGCTTCACAGGTGAAAAACAACAGGAGCTCCGAGCAATACGAGTTCAATCACACAAATATGGCGAGGCGTGCTCTAAAAAATATTGCCCTCGGTAAAGCCTTTTTCCGGCCCTTCTCGTTTTTTTATATTATATTCAATTTTCATTAATCTTCGTTTTATTTAATTTCATTTAATTTTTTTCTTATGTAATATTTTGTCTGTTTGTAGCATACCTTGGCTCACTTGAAGATGAAGAAATAACCGAGCTTGCGTTGCATGAATATAAAACTGCTACAAATATGACCGATCAATTTGCTTCTTTGGCAGCGCTCGATCAGAACCCTGGTAAAACACGAGACGAGGTTTTAGCAGATTTTTACGACAAGTGGCAGCATGATTTCTTGGTAAGAAAAAATGTATCCGACAATATCTTGTTCCATTTTCTAAATTTTATATATATATATATATATATATATATATATATATATATATATACACAATATTTTTTAATTTTTTTCATGTGTTGAATTTTTTTCTTATACAGGTCGTAAATAAGTGGTTATCCCTCCAAGCTAGTTCGAACATACCTGGGAATATCGAGAATGTTCGTAAACTGCTTAACCATCCCGCCTTTGACATACGTAATCCAAATAAGGTTGGTGAAAAATCCGAATTTTCTTCCTTTTTCCGAGACTACTAAAATATTTTTTATTCAGCAAAAACAAAAAATTGACGATAATTTTAATTTTTTTTTTCGAAAATAGGTGTACTCGCTGATTGGAGGATTCTGTGGATCTCGGGTCAACCTGCATGCGAAAGACGGGTCGGGTTACAAATTTATGGGCGAAATGGTTTTGCAGCTTGACAAGCTGAATCCTCAGGTAACAATTTCGTTTTGCTAGAGGGGGTTTTGTGCTAATAAATAAAATAAAGGAAGGTTTTGGACAATTAGAATAAATACGAGGGTGTTGAATGAAAAAAAAAAAATCGGACCTTTTTTTTTTTTTTTTTTTTTTTAAATTCTGCAATATTGATGAATTGTATTATTTTGACTATTATAGGTTGCCTCAAGTATGGTAACAGTGTTCTCGAGGTGGAAGCGATACGATGAAACCCGGCAAAATCTTGCAAAGGTAATATTCTCGATTATGTAAAAAAGAATAAAAAAAAAACTCGATTGATTTTTTATTTTATTTTCGAGTTCGACACTCGCATGCGACGCTTGATTCCGATGGTTATGTGCGACGTTTTACAGGCGCAGCTGGAAATGATTATGGCTGAAAATGGGCTGTCCGAAAACGTGTTCGAGATTGTATCGAAGAGTTTGGCTGTTTCGAGTCTTGCACAAATGTAAATATGGTCAACTCATATCTAATTAAAATCATTGTCTTTTGATTATTTGATCAAAATTAGATTTTTCCTATGTTCTTGGTTAGGAAAAATTGAAGCTGGTGGAAGATATGTGTATCTTTATTTAGACAAGAAAAGTCATAATTAGCAGCATCCTAAAGTTAGGTTCTAATGCTTGTCTATACAACACAATTTTTTCTCAGAAGTTTCTATAGAAATTATTATTTTATTTATATTTATTATCATTATTATTTTTAATTATTATTATTATTAGGGTAAATTACAAACACCCCCCCTGAGGTATGACCAAATTACAAAAACACCCCTCTTGTTTGGATAATTACAACCACCCCTCAACTCATCAAATTTAGTGGAATCTTCGAGATTATATGGAATATTATCACTTTTGTACCCGTTTTATCCTATTCAAACTCTACATTATGAAGCAAGATGACCATAATATGTGATTTTTAGCTTGTATATATCAGTTTGTGGTGCATCGAAAACTGTATTTTTTACACAAAGAGTACAAACTAGAGCACATTTCACGGAATGTAGATGACTATGTTGAATTTGGCACCATAAAGGTAAGAAAAAATCATAGTTGAGGGGGGTAGATGTAATTATCCAAACAAGAGGGGGGTTTTTGTATTTTAACCATACCTCAGGGGGTGTTTGTAATTTATCCTTATTATTATTATTATTATTATTATTATTATTATTATTATTATTATTATTATTATTATTATTATTATTATTATTATTAGTATACTACTCCTACTACTTTCACCAGTACCGCCGCCGCCACCACTATTGTAACTATTACTACCACCACTGCAACCGCCACGACTACCACCACCACGGGCACGATTACTACTACTACTACTACCATCACTACCGTGACTACTAATATTGCTTATTAATTTTTAGAGATTTAACGTGTATATAGACAAAAAAGGATTGTTTATGAATTATATACAATTATTAAATTCCAATTTAACAATATTCTAAAGTTCTAATACCAATTTTTTTTTCCTATTATCGTTTCCCTAATTTCATTTGGAGTGATTCGAACCCACAACTTTGGTTGAGTTTTTATTTTGTTTTCATTGATTCTTCAAAACAAAATTATATTTATTACATTTCTCAAATAATTTTTTCAAAACAATCTCAAAAGTTTCTCTCTCATTCAGATATGATGTGACTGCTACGGTAAAATGATTTGACTGCTACAGTAAAAAATATCTTCACTAAAAAACAAATAAATATCACTTCATCTTTCAATTTTTTTCTTCTAAAATACTTTTTTTCTTACACTTATTAAACATGATGTGACTGCTACAATGTATTTTGTCTCATTCCAAAATATAAACAAACATTACTTTAACTCTCAAATTCTTCCCCCAAAAAACATTTCCTCAAAATGAATCAAAATAAGTTCCAAAACGCTTCCAAACATTAATTTTCCAGTATTCACTTACTACCTCCGTTTCATATTAAGTGGCCTTTGGTCAAACAAAAATTTCCCATATTAAGTGTCGCTTTAGGTATAGAAGGAAAAAATATTCTTTTATCAAGTTTGCTGCCTTTATATTGGAGAAATTTCTATTAAAAAGTAGAATGTTAATTAGATTTTTTATTTTTTAATATGTGTGCACGCCATTTAATATGTAAGGAGGTATTATTTTATTCGGTGAGTGCTAAATTAAAGTGTCACTTTATATTTTATAGAAAAATAATTTTCTGTACAAAACGCACGCACGCACACAACACATAATTGTAGACTTTATTTAATTAACGCGTTGGAAAGATGAGCCAACCGTGCAAGTCAGTGTGTGGGGTTTTTCAGGGTGGGTCCCACAAACTATACTGCATGTAAAAAGTAGATGCCCCCGCCCGCACGTGCGCACTAAAGAAAAACACCAGAGAGAAGCTTTCTCGGTAATTACATCTGCTAAAAGCGCACTAACTTACTTTTTTCAGTACTAAATCATGTGGTCCCCACTTTTATACTCATTTACTTAACTACCCCTTTAAGTTCTTACAAGTTCAACCACATCCCCATTTAGTTAAGAACTACTCCTTCTCTGATCCATAATATCTGTCTATTTTGAGATTTTTTTTGTTCCATATTATCTGTTACTTTACAATTCCAATGCTGCATTAATTGCTTATTTTTCAATTTTATCCTTATTAACTCTATATCAGTCTTCCTGCATTAATTAATAAACAAGGGTATTTTGGTCAATCAATATCAATTTTCCTAAAATCAAGACATATTTACTAAGATTCTTAAGATTTGTGCCAATGTTAAAAACGACACCTATTTAGGAACGGAAAGAGTAGTAGATAAATTGTTTATTCTATCTCAAAATTGTATACATTCTTGGTTCTTGAATTTAATTACTCTTTTTAGTTGTTGAATTTGAGAATATAAATATATTCATTTTATATGATTTTTCTTTAATTGAAATTACAATTGAATTGTGAGAATAATTTTTTTTGACTACTAAATGATACGATATGTTAATATGGACTGTATTAAGCTTGATTCATGTTAGGTTCGATCAAAACTCTCATTTGAATTCGGCTTGACTGATCATTAAACGAAAAAAATTGTGCGTCGATAGAAAATCAAATGGGTCGGAACAATTCTACATTCATCTCTACTTCTTTTTATTTACTCATCTAAAAAAAATCTATTTATTTATTACAAGCACAACTATTGAATTTATTATGTGTATAAATTGATTATGTATTATATTTATATCAATCATATAAATGTCACATTTTTCAAATAATTAGTAATTGCACCTTTATAATAAATATTCAATGACATTTCAATTAAATAAATTTTGTAGCCTGTCGTCGCCGAAAAAATAACTAAAGAACTAAATTGAACAAAATAAAAAATATAAGGACTTTGGATAAAAAACAAAAATACATAATAATACTGATATTATGAATATAACTTTTCAAAAAAAAAAAATTGAAATTTTCGGAAACCAAATTCATATCAAATTTTGAAATGTAATATGTATTCCAATTTCATTTCAAAGCAATCGGAAAATCGAAAATTGGAAATTCAGAATTCAGAATTCAGAATGAAAACTATAGCTTCAAATTTTGGAAATGTTCGAATCGGGATGCAGAATTCAAAAATTCCGTACAGTTCCATGATCCATCGGTTCATTTGATGCTACACCCCACGAAATACATCGGGTGATTATTAATCGTTGATCTGCACATAATCACACACACACACATGTACATATATGCTTAGTGGTTGATTATTCAGTCACATCAATAGGTAAACATCACCCGTTGTATATGACCAGACGTAGCATCTCAATAACCATGTAAAGCCACACTGCACGAGTACTTTTCGGTAATTTCGCTTGTTAAAGCCCAAAAACAAATCAATAGAAAATAGAAATATATAAACCTTCACTCCCATAATAATCAACATTAAATTAAACTAAAACTAATCAGTTTTTAGTCATTGCCGTGTTTGACCTCAAAATCAATATAATAATAATAATATTATATACTTACAGCATCTACAATTCTACATACACAATCTTGCTCTACATATTTGCAATTGCACCCTTTTTTTTTTACATTTCATTTTTCTCGCATATAAAAAAATAAAAAAATTCGCGCTCGAAGATTTAATTTTCTCACTTGTTCAATGGTTTTTTGAGTTTATCTTTGATTGATTGAAATTATACGATGAGAAGAGGCGTTAACAATGGAACCGACGCGCTAGAGACGATTAGCGCCGCCGCGTCTGCGATCGCATCGGCGGAGGCTCACGGCGCTCATGCTTCTTCCCTTCAGGTATTAGAAAATAATTTTAATTTTTAGGTTTAATTCTTCTCTATTTCTTATGTGAATTTTGAAATTAAGTGATTTTTTTTTTTTTGATTATGGTGGTTAATGATGTAATTTTCTGTTCAGAGTTGTGTATGATGATTAAGATCTGGTGATTTAATTATTTGATTTTAGGTTTAATTTTTGTTCAGCTCCGATCGAAGAGATTCTGGATCTCAGTATGACTTTTAGCATAATCGAATTTTTTTAATTTTTTTTAATATTGGAATTTATTCGATTGCAACTTGATTTGTGGTATGAAGGAATTTTGATTTTTGAACTTGTTCTACAGAATTTCACGACTTCAAATCATTTTGTATAAAGTAAGTTTTGGAGTTAATTGCTATCGATTTTAAAAAAGCATCGAAAGTTATGGTTCAGAGTGAGATGTTGAATCTAATAACAATCATATATAAAAGAAAAAGGAACTTTCAGCTGATCACTGACTTTTTCAACTGCTTTACTGTGGTGTTGTTATCTTTAATTAGTCTTCATCATTAATTAACGTTAAATCACTTTTTAAGAAGATTTTTCGGCTGAAATGATAAATGTTTGTTAGAGATTTGTAGCATAGTGTTCTACGTAAGTGGATGGAAATATTTATGTTGATGTGTATCACCTTTTAGCTGCGTAAAGTCACCCATAACAATGTTAATTTCACAGTGTTAAACACTTAGCTTTTCTTGTTCATTTTCTGCTGTTAGCTTGATGCAAAGCCGTAGGAGTGCAACTTATATTAGTAAGATTACTAAATCCCTAAGGCCTCATTTGGTTGGGTCGATTAGCCGTAATTAATTAAATAATTGGACTTTGTTTGATGTTTGGTAAACTCAATAACTTCTCGGGTCGACCCGCAAGTATTATGTTATCATGCCTTTTAGGGAGTTTTTTTTGTTGAACGTCCGATAAAAAAATTGGGTTTCATTAGATTATTTAATCTTATCCTGGTTAATCCTATCTTGACAACCAAACGAGGCCTAAGTTTAGTAGAGTGTAAATTGAAGTATTGCACCAATTGCCCTGATGATTCTGTTTCCATTTCATTACCACCTTCTCTCCTTTCTCCGGATACCAGCTTGCATTTTTTCATATTTGTGTAAAGAATACCAGCTTGCATTTTTTCATCTTGCCTGATTGTGATATGACGACAAAGCATTGTTCTTACTGCTGAGTAAAAGCTTTGCAATATTTAGTTATATTTTGTTACTCTTCATAATTGCAATTGTTTTTACGCCTTTACTTATTTCCAGTACTTCTGTTTACAAATTCCAATAATTGTTTCCAACAATGGTAGATATTTACGTGATTATTTCTGCTTATTGTCATGTGCAGAAAAGAAGGTGGAGAAGCTTCTGGAGCCTGTACTGGTGTTTCAGACCGAACAACAACAAACGAATCGGACACGCCGTACTTGTTACGGAAACATCTTCCTCAGACACCGCCTACACTCCGACAGCCGAACGCCCCTTCCAACCCCCATCCATAGTACTTCCTTTCACCGCACCTCCTTCGTCCCCCGCCTCCTTCATTCCATCAGAACCCCCGTCTTCCACCCAATCACCGACCGGCCTATTATCACTTTCCTCTCCTTCCGGAAACATCTATTCTCCAAGTGGGCCCGCTTCAATATTCGCTATAGGCCCTTACGCCCACGAGACTCAGCTAGTTTCTCCTCCTGTCTTCTCCACCTTCACAACGGAACCTTCTACCGCCCCTTACACCCCTCCCCCTGAGTTTTCAGCCCATTTAACTACACCTTCCTCACCTGAAGTACCGTTCGCACGCCTTCTAGAACCTAATCAGAGGTACCCTCTCTCTCAGTACGAGTTCCAATCGTACCAGCTTCAACCTGGCAGTCCGGTCAGCCATCTGATCTCGCCTTGCTCTGGGATTTCTGGTTCAGGCGCATCTTCGCCTTTTCTTGACCGTGACTTTGCTGCCGTGCACCCCTTTTTCCTCGAGTTCGGGGGTGGAAACCCCCCTAGACGGGATCAGTGGGAATCGTGTCAGGAATCTGGTGTGGTGACCCCTACTGATGCCGTGGGTCCCAGATCTCGCGATAGTTGTGTCCTTTTGAACAGGCAGAATTCGGATATCTCTCCACTTCCGGATAATTGTACTGGATTGGAGAATGATGTAGCGGCAATTGATCATAGAGTTTCTTTCGAGATAACCGCGGAGAAAGTGATAAGATGCGTGGAGAAAAAGTCGCTCGAAACTGCACAGGAATCAGTTGGGAAAAAACCGATCGAATTGATTAACCGAGAAGAAGATCAAACTGAAATTGTTAATGAGAAACGGCATCAGAAGAATCGAACAATTACTCTTGGATCAACCAAAGAATTTAACTTTGAGGGAGGAAATTGTGACGAACCTTGTGTTGATTCATCGGAGTGGTGGGTGAATGAGAAGAAGGTTCCAAAAGAGGGCGGAGGTTCGTCTGAGAACTGGTCTTTCTTCCCGATTTTGCAGCCAGGTGTCAGCTAGAAGCAGCAGCAGTGAAGATTTAAAGTTTCGATTTTGACTTGGCTTACGAAATACTATTAATGCTGGAGGTAAATTTGGGTAGGACTGACACTTTTACTTGAATACTGTTCTTTGAGATCTTTCCGATCCGAAAACAGTTAGATAGAACAAAGGGGGAATTATTCGTAGAATTATGGGGGTATTTTACGACGTTCGAGACAGAAATCCGTTGAAACGACGTGGTTTAGGTACTTATATATATTTTCTTGTATATGTAAAATAAAATTGATAGAACTGTTTTAGACATGGTGCTGCTACTGAAGCTGATGATGGAAACTGGTGATACATTATAGGATGGGGAAGTTTTCTGTCAATCTAGCCTACAATAAAGCTGTTCTAGTGTAATGTTTTGACTTACCATTTGTGTATATTCAAGTTTCGATTCGCTTGCAATGCTGGCTCGATTTTATCTGGAAGAAAAAATGAATAGGTACGATTTTTTTCTTTTATTCTTTTTACTGCATTTGGTGCCTTTTTTTGTATTTTATGTCATTAATATATGCATGTATATGTATAATATGGGTACCAGTTTTGAGGTCTCGGACCCGGAACCGACCCGTTTGGGTGAGTTAAACGGTTCTTGGTCAGGTAATGGGTTTAAGTTTTTAGACTCGGATGGTTCTGGGTTGGCTTATGGGTCTTTATGGAACCGACCCGTATAAATATATAATATTTAACAATTAATTTGGGATTTCATTTATCAAAGTTTCAATTTCTATCGTGTCTATTCTCATTTACCCATTTTTTCATGGTTCCATTTTTTTGAATCTCATTCTTGACCGCTAGGGGTCATGCCTTTTGAACTTTATTTGTTGTAGAAGTTAAATATAATTAATTATACAATTTTATTGTTCACTTGTTTTTTAAAATACTGTATTTTAATTTTGGATTGTTTTGTTAAAATATACAAACAAAATATTAAGCAAGTTAAAAAAGGCCGTTTTTTTTTTTTTTTTAAAGTTTGATGTTAACAAGTTTAGCGGGTGGGGTCTCGGGTTAGGAAAACCAACCCCATAACCGACCCGAACCCGTTGCCAACCCTAATTCAGAAGTCTGATTTTGTGTTGTTAAATCATAAATGATTTCCGGTTTTTGTTACGTGTATGATCTCTAATCACATGAATAATATTGGTTTGTTAAATACTATGAAGTATGAACTTTAATCAAATACAAGACGTGCAAGCTACAAGTTGCAAATTAATTGTATCTCTATGAATTAGATATTAGATAACTAAACCTATTAAATTGTAGGTGACCATATTATAAAACTGGATATATTCCCACATATTAAATTAGAAATCATAATATAAAATTAGAAGTATACGTGTTCCAAAAGATAGATTATTCTATGCTATATTCCATGAATTTCATTCGGTACAACACTCACGATACACGTGTATGTGTAATTATTTGTTATACGATTTGTTTTATGCTACACTTGGTGAACTTCATCGAGTTATGCCATATCACATATGTGTGTAGAGATACATACACATTTTACACACACTATATATATGTAATGTGTTTAAAGTAATTCAGAAGTGAAATTACATGATGAATTTTATTTGGTGTAGCATAGGATAAAACATGTTTATAAATAATAAGTTCAATTTAATCAAAACAAAAACCCCCAATTACTACTTTTTGCCCATATTTTGTCTATCTTGGTGGTTGACCAATGAATTGTCAAACCTCATAAAATCTGCACTTTTCTTCCAAGTCTTTGACCATGAATAAAATAAGTTTCTCTCCAAAATGTAAATCAATTCAAACAAATTATTTTCTGTCAATTGTCACACCAAAAAAGAATTAAAAAAAATGAAAAAAAAAATAAAAAATCATTCTGGTCCACGTTGGACTGCTCAAATGGCAACATTACTTTATTTCATATGTTGTCCTAATTAGAACTAACTAACATATTCCAGCCTTTGCTGACCAAAAAAGGCATTCGCTGACCTTCTAGATATATATTAATATATATATATATAGTCACTCCCTGAAGCAAGGTCAATTTGCAAACAAACCCCAAATGTTTGGGTAATTATAATTATCCCCTCAATTATAGATCTTTTTAAACGTAATCCTCTAGATTATGTGGAATATTCTCCAGTTGTACCGGTTTAACCCCATTCAAGCTCCACATTTGAAACAAGATGATCATAAGATGTATCTCTTGGCTTGTAAACATTAGATCATGTGCATCATAAACGCATTTTACACAAAACGAGTACAAGTTATGGAACATTCTACGTAATCTAGAATATTGCGTTGAATTTGACACCATAATGATAGACGTGTATGAAGATTCATAGTTGAAAGAAGTGATTGTAATTACCCAAATATAGTAATGTTTTCGTAATTTGATCTTTATCTTAGGGGTGACCTTAATTTATCCTAATAACTATATATTAGGAAATGTACCAAATATCCTCTCATGTTTGTATTTTATTGTAATATGCTGACATCACCTATTGACTTTCTTGTTGTGTTTGTGACATTTTTCCCCTATTGAATTGAGTAAGGGTTCAAAGCTTATATGTGCCTTATTTTTTTACCTTTATTTTTTCCTCATTTTTTCATTTAAAATTAATTCATTTTGCTCCTTTTTTTAACTTCACTATAATGTTCATCTCTAGTTGTTATCATGAACTCAATTTTGAATAGCAATCATAACCAAATCACATTAGCAACCGGATACCTAATTTTTGTAATTAAACTAATTATCTCAAATTAGGAGATTAAATCAGAGTAAATATTTCACTTAATGTAAGTCAAACTTCAGTATATTCAAACTCCGTAAAAAGGTCTCCATAATTGATTTTAATTACAAAAAAATTATCTGCCAATATAACCTACAAAAATATATTCTCAACTTAATAAAATATAAAAAGTAAAATAAACAATTGCTTAAATAGTCATTCAAGTACTCTCTGCAAGATGAGTTATATTTGGAAAAAAATGAAGAAGACAATGACTTTAATTTGTATTTTTTATTTGGCTGATATATTTTTAAGTACTAAAATTCATATATACTTTCTATGGACTAAAGATAGGGTAAGATTGTAATTGCTCCACAAAACATTTCACAATAAATGTCTTACCATTTTTGTAAGTTTGACCAAAAATAGGAGGAGGGTATTTAACACATTACGTAATTGAGGGGTGTATATGCAACACAACACATAGTTCAGGGGTGCAAAGTGAACTTTGCCATAAATTATACCAAACCAAACCCTCTCTCACCCACCCTACAAAACCAGGCGCCACCCATTTTTCGCTGTACATCAATTCTTCTCCTCCATTCTCACACAATTGTTCATATATACTCCAACACATTTTTTCTTCTTCTTTCTTATATCAATAATTCCCCCAAAAATTCAACCTTTTTGCTGACAAAACTTTTCTAGGGTTTTCAAGATTCTTTCCTTTTCTTGAAAAAATTGGTGATTCTTGCTGTTTTCTTTTCGTGTAATTTCTTTACTGGGTTGTCTTAGATTCTCCCCCCTCTCCCCAATCTCGATTTTCTTTTCCCAGAACCAAACCCTAATCTTGATTTTCCGTCTTCATTTTTTTTTTTAAATTAGGGCTTTTTTCCCTCTTTCAGAAAGATGCCGCCTTTTGCAGGATCAAATACCTCCTCCAATGGAGTTCACCGCCACGATTCCAATTCAAATTCAAACATAGTCACAATCGACGTCGGCGGTCAAATATTTCAGACAACAAAGCAAACCCTTTCATTAGCCGGTTCGAAATCATTCTTCTCCAAGATTTCAAATTCAGACAGCATGATCCCCTTCATAGACAGAGACCCTGAACTTTTCTCAATCCTCCTCTCCCTCCTCCGTACCGGAAACCTCCCCTCTAAAGCCAAATCATTCAACATCCAAGACCTAATCTTCGAATCCCAATTCTACGGAATCGAAAACCTCCTCGTCAATTCCCAATCGAACCCTTCCCAATTCGACGCATTCAACCTCGAAAAATCGAGTCTTTTGCCGTTAAACGGCCGCGATTCGCCCACGTCCATCTCCACGACACCCTACGGATCGCTCCACATCGCCCACGGTAGTAAAGTCACCTCCTTTGATTGGTCACTCCAAAGAAAATCGACAATCTTAACCCAATTCACCGCCATTGATTCTTTGTTTGCGTTATCACCTACGATCGCAGCTGCTGGAGCCACCGATTTTTCTGGCCTGCAAATTCTTGATCTCGAAAAGGGTTTCGTTAAAGAAACTCTGAATTGGGAAAACGTGACTAAATCCGGTTCAACCGTGCAAGCCATCAGCGCATCGCCCGATCATTTATTCACGAGCTTCGAATCGAGCAGGAGAAACTCGAATTGCATAATGGTGTACGATTTGAACGATAATCTACGCCCCGTGACGAAAATCGGCCATTACGAAATATACGGTGCGGATCTTGATTCGGCTATTCCATCCACTAAACTGCAGTGGGTTTCGAGCCATAATTTGTTGATGTCTTCGGGCTCTCATAGTGGGCCTTCCGGAGTATTGGGGAATATCAAGTTTTGGGATATTCGATCGGGAAATGTAGTTTGTGAACTCAAAGAAAAAGTCGATTGCTTCGCTGATGTCACCGCTTCGAATGTGCTCGGTGGGATGTTTAAAGTTGGAGTTAATACGGGTGAAATATTCTTTGCGGATTTAAGAAATATGGATAGTGATAGTAATTCTTGGATTTGTCTTGGTGATGGGAGGAAGGTAGCCAACGGGAAGAAAGAAGGGTTCGGGTGTAAAATCGAAAGCCATGGGAATCAAGTCTTTTGTAGTAAAGGAGGGAATCTTGAATTGTGGTCGGAAGTGGCGATGAATCGTGCAGAGAGAGACGAGAGCGATTTGAGCGAGAGGATTTTTAGGAAGAATTTGATGGGAAGAGCTAAAGATATGGGGGGAAATAGGATAACTAACTTCCATTTCGGAGGAAGCAAAATGTTTATTACAAGGAAAGATCAACAGTGCGTCGAGGTTTGGAGTTCGGTTTGCGGGTTTTGAGTTCTTGTCTTAAATTGTTTTAAAGACACATTGTGTACGACTTGACTGTATGTGAATATAAAGATGTATTTCATTCGGTGTAGCACGAGAAATTATAGTAGTGTTAGGTAGTTGTGGTAAGTTACTTTTCGGAAAGTGTTGTTCATGTAAAGATTGGAATTTTATTGTTTAGAATGTTCATATTTGTTACATGAGGATGCTATTGTCACATAATATTTGACTTGAACGTCGGGGTCGGGTTTGGTTTCGATTTCGGTTTTCAGTTTTCGGTTTACGTGGAATCCCGTGGCGTGTCATGTAACAATTTTTGTATGTAATTACTAAGCTGGGAGGAGTAGTTGAATCCTTAATTGGTAAATGAAGTCTTCGAACTAAATGATAATAAAGTACGGCGGTTCGACCAAACGTTCAAGCGTATGAGTTCGAGCCCAATCTTAGTTATTTAGTTCACTAGTCAGCTCGAGAGCTTTTTTTATTTATTATTTTTTCCTTATAATATAAATTATATATATTAAAATAGAAAATATAATAATAATAATAATAATAATAATAAATACATACAATTTTCTTTTAAACCAGTTCATTTTTTATTTGTAATTTTCGTTTTCTTTTTTAGTAAAAAATATTTAACGAAATGAGCTCGAGCTCGACGAACTTGACTGGAGTCCAGAAATTACAAGCTCGATGAGTTTGGACTCGAGTTCATTCAATTTGTCAAGCTCGACTCGAGCTAGGCTCGTCTAGCCCCTGAAGATTAAATAAATTTTACCTATTTAAAGATTAAATGTAATACATAAGTATTAAAGAGGTATGCATAAGTTGACCAATTCATAATACTTCTTATTGGGCCCAAACTAATCCCACAACTACTAAAATATCACTATCCAGCCCATCTTATGTGTAAATGTTTTTTTTTTCAATGTGGATTGAGTCTTATTTTAATTTTTTAATGAATTACCACGTAAACGAGAGAGTAGGTTTACCCAAATGCACGTTTATAGTTGGCTGTCGATTTCGTTATTATTAATAAAAAAAAAAAAAAAACACACCCACTAAATTCTACAGCTAAATAACCTCACACATACTAAATATAAATTTATTTTAAAAAAAAAAAACATCTTGCTAGTTTGTCCCTCCAACATATTCTCAATATCTCTTTTGGCCAACCAAATTAAATTAATTAATGATTCAATGATCAACTTTTAGTTGGATTTGATTATGTGAAGAAGGGCATGAACAATTGGTTGGATTTGGATCCATATTCATAATGAAATAAATAGCACAGCTAGGATTCGGCATTTGTCAATTTCACCATTAAATTTAATTTAAATATAATATTATTATACTACTTTTATTTTAAATACTAATAGTGTACCTCAATTGAACAAGGCAATGATGGATTTTATTTTCAGATATTAATTCTAAAGAAATATTTTTGATGCGTCTAGTGTGTGGGGTCTTGGCAGTTGGCACATTGGGTGCAAGTATATATGAGTGAAAGATTTATTTATGATGTTGAAAATGGCAAAAAAAATCGCCCTAAAAATTAATATGCTGAAAATTGCACGAATCACCCCAAATATGCTGAAATCGCCAAATCACCCACAATTAAATATCGTATCGTATCGCTATATCGAACGTTATTTATTGATATTTAAAGACAATCGACACATATGCCGAGTTGTAGATCATTTTTATATAAATCGTACCGTTTCGCGATAAATACAGCGATATATCGTGATATTGACTAGTTGGAGCAAATGAATTTTACAAAAAGTGTCAAAAATATATATATATAACATTATATGCATGGATGGATGCATGCCCATGATGTATGCATGTGCATGATTTCTCTCAACTAATCACATTTACTTTTTTTCTCCATCATTGAATGCAAGAATTAAAGGAGGAGGTTCTCTTCCTGCCAAATTAGGTGACTAAAGCATCATATTTCCAGATAAAGAATAACACACAAAGCCCTATAATAATAATAATTTTTTTATTTTATTTTTTTATTTTCCACCGAAAAAACAAAATGATTAATAAAATCATGAGTATATATTAATTAATATGACTTTTGTTATAAAAGTTGAATGTGGTAATAAATGAATGAACCGCGTAATTGGATGACTTCACTTGTCTGGTTTTTTTCCTAGATTTGTCAATTGTACATTTACATTGAGATATTACTTACAGATTATACATACATACATACATACATATATATATTTATACAATATATATCATCATCTTTGGAGGTGGGGTTATTATTATATGTGGACTACTACTACTACTACTATACCTTCTCATCCCCAACGACCTCTTGTGGCATTTACTCTCTCTCTCTCTCTCTCTCTCTCTCTCTCTCTCTCTCTCTCTCTCTCTCTCTCTCTCTCTCTTATATAGAGAGATGATGATGAAATATGTAAATATATGTGTATAGAGAGAGACCCCCCCCCCCATATTTATTGCCATTCTTTTTTATTTTCTCTATAAATCACTTTATTTTCTTCACTACTGTCAATCACAGATCTCTCCTCCCATTTCCCATATTCTTCAGTTACACCTATACATATACACACACATAATTTTTCAATTTATTATTTTAATTAATTTCCTCCAGTTCATACAATTACGTACAGGTACTTTTATTTATTTATAAATTCGAATTTCTTCAATTTTTTTTTTCCGGTGAGTTAGTATGAAATTAAATTAGTAACGGTGGTTTTTTTGAAAAAAAAAAAAAAGAAAAAGGAAATTAAATTGGGGTTTGGATGGAAATATCAACGGCCGTGATGATTTCAGCCTTGGCGGCAGCTTATTATCTATGGTTCAGATCAATCACGAGGTTTTTAAAGGGGCCCACATTGTGGCCCGTATTAGGGAGCTTACCGGGCCTGATTCAGAACAGCGGCCGCATGCACGACTGGATTGCCGATAACCTACGCGCCTGCGGCGGCACGTACCAAACCTGCATATGCGCTGTCCCTTTTCTGGCGAGAAAGCAGGGCCTCGTGACAGTCACGTGCGACCCCAAGAATTTAGAGCACATTTTGAAGGTTAGGTTCGACAATTACCCAAAGGGCCCCACATGGCAGGCTGTGTTCCATGACTTGTTGGGTCAGGGCATCTTCAATTCCGATGGCGACACGTGGCTGTTCCAGCGTAAGACTGCCGCACTGGAATTCACCACCCGGACTCTCAGGCAAGCCATGGCTCGTTGGGTGAGCCGAGCCATCAAGGATCGGTTCTGCCCTATTTTGAAAACGGCTCAGCTCGAGGGGAAGCCGGTTGATCTGCAGGATCTCTTGCTGCGGCTCACTTTTGACAACATATGCGGCTTGGCTTTTGGGAAGGACCCCCAGACACTATCACCCGGCCTGCCCGAAAACGGCTTCGCTTCGGCTTTCGATCGAGCCACTGAAGCCACGTTGCAGCGGTTTATTTTCCCCGAGTTTGTGTGGAGGTTCAAGAAATGGCTCCGGCTGGGAATGGAGGTCAGCTTGAGCCGGAGTTTGAAACACGTGGACGACTACATGAGTGACGTTATCAGTACACGTAAGCTCGAATTGATGAGTCAGCAGAACGGTGGTGGTGGGGCCCACCACGACGATCTGCTATCGAGGTTTATGAAGAAGAGGGAATCCTATTCCGATCAATTTCTCCAACAAGTTGCCCTAAATTTCATCCTCGCCGGCCGTGACACGTCATCGGTGGCGCTCAGCTGGTTTTTCTGGTTGGTGATTTTGAACCCTAGAGTGGAGGAGAGGATCCTGGTTGAGCTGTGCTCAATTTTGACCGAAACTCGCGGCGGCGACACCGCGAAATGGGTGGAGGAACCCCTGGTTTTCGATGAAGTCGACCGATTGGTGTATCTGAAGGCGGCGCTATCGGAGACTCTGCGGCTGTACCCCTCCGTGCCGGAAGATTCGAAGCACGTCGTCGCCGACGATGTTCTGCCTGACGGGACATTCGTGCCGGCCGGATCGAGCATAACTTACTCGATCTATTCGGCGGGGAGGATGGAGTTCGTGTGGGGCGGCGATTGCCTGGAATTCAAGCCGGAGAGATGGCTGTCGGCGGACGGCGGGAGATTCGTGGCGAGAGATCAGTTCCAGTTCGTGGCGTTCAACGCCGGGCCGAGGATTTGCCTGGGGAAGGACTTGGCTTACCTGCAGATGAAGTCGATCGCGGCGGCGGTGTTGCTCCGCCACGTGCTGGTGCTGCCGCCGGGGCACAAGGCGGAGCAGAAGATGTCGCTGACGTTGTTCATGAAGGACGGGCTTAAGGTGAACGTGCTACCTAGGGATTTGGCGCCGATTGTGGACAAGATTGGGAATAATGACGGCGGCGCGTGAGGTATGGGATTATGATTAATGGATTTGATTAGGATGGTTTAATTGGGAGGTTTATTTTGTGAATAGATGCATAATAATTAATTAATTATATATATATATACAGTTGAGTCGTTTTCATGATTCAGTGTGATGGACACCTTGATGAGTGGGTTAATTAAGGTGCCTCTCACAATGAAACATGGATTTGTGTCATTGGTCAAATTAATTTATAGGAGGTCTGTATTATTTGTTTGCTGGAAATAAATTTAATAAATAAATAAAATGTCAATCTATTTCTATTATATGAAAATGAAATGAATAATGGTTATTTGGTGTGAAAAACTTAAGCCATGGAAATTTTAATTATTACTATTATTGTTATTATTATTAGTAGTAGTAGTATTCCAAATTTTCTTTGCTCAGGTTGGCACTCCAAAGAAAAATCTTGTTTGAAGATAGAAAATAAAAATAATTTTCATCTACCAACAGCACATTAGATTAAGAAATTAAGCTAAACCCCCGCATGGGTATAGCTCAATTAGTTTCGGAGTTGATAAATTGATGCAATGTTCTAGAATCGAGAACTGACAGTCGTAGTATAACAATTTCAAGTCCAACGAGAGTTGATTCTCTGTGGACACCAGACCCATGTCCAATACACTATCAGGTCGTTGAGTTACCACATTTTATATTCTTCCATCAAATACGTGTCGGACCAGGAGATGGGACCCTGAAGGCGAGGGATTTCTTCGCCTTTTCGTGCAAGAAATTAGGTCAAATTTAATTGACAATCTTACTCCATTAAACAATGGAAAAGAAAATATAGATGGTCAAGATTCAAGATAACCCAAAATTGAAGATTTGGGATGAATTAATTTATTCAATCCAATTTGCATTATTTTAATCATTGTATAAACTTGTGATTGTTAGTAAAACATACTCGTCACCAATTTGCATTGTAAATTATCCAGTCTAAAAATCATATTTTTCAATGTCTTAACAAATGTTCCAAGTTCACACACATGTTTAAATGGAAATCAATTTTTTTACAAACATTTCAACACTTGGGTTCTGTCAAATCCAAGCTGAAATCCCACAGTTTCTTAGCCAACTCTGCATCTAACGAGAGCGAACTCTGCGTAGAAATATTGCTGTCGGCAAAATAGTTACCCGTCACTCCCTTGACCTGTGGATGCAAAGCTGCGTAACATGTAGTCGCCGCTCCCTGTAAACCAACGATTGATTATTTCCGTAGAAAAAAATTAGAAATTTCAAATTGAAAAAAAAAGGTGTTACAAACCTGGGGAATGTTTTTGAGGAAATATTTTCCGACCCAGTTAACAACACCTGGTAAGACAAAAGACTCTAACAATTATCAGGCGTACCCTTCAAAAAACAATTAACATGCACACACACGGCAAACATCGTTTTTTCATGAGAGATAGAGAGCTTCATGTGTGGGGCCCACTATTTGTCTCGTTCAATTTTCACAATGGGTTATAAAAGTGGGTCAGGAATTCACCTTCTAATATACCATGATGGCGTAGAAGGTTGGTGGCAATTGCTCCAGGATGAAGTGAATTAGCAGTTATTTCAACCCCTTCTTCCTGTTGTTAGCAAGAAAAGACCAAATATTATTACATTGTTTGACTAGAATATACTATGTAGGAAAAAAATTATTTTGCATTATCATCAAAAGGGTATTACTGAAAAATACACATAATTACTGAATAGTACATACAACGAAAATCAGCACATTCGTAAAACATGACGTTGTCTAACTAAAATTTAAACATGTGTTTTTCGTGATGTGCCTTAAACTTTGTCTGAAGGGGTTATTACCTTAAAGCGCCTCGCGAGTTCGTTAGCGTGCAATATGTTAGCTAGCTTTGACTGTCCGTAAGCGAATATACTAGTGTAACTGTGAAGCAACAAAATACAAAATTTAGATGAATTCCAGTGTGTGTGTGTGTGTGTGTGTGTGAGAGAGAGAGAGAGAGAGAGAGAGAGAGAGAGAGAGAGAGAGAGAGAGAGAGAGAGAGAGAGAGAGAGAGAGAGAGAGAGAGAGAGAGAGAGAGAGAGAGAGAGAGAGAGTAAAGGCACCCCAGTGTTATAAGCATTTAATCTCGAGATCAACATTTTTTCTTTTGTGAAAATGGGAACCTTCCATTGTATTGGCAGAAAATAAAAATGGGAACCTTCTAATGTATTGAGAGAAGGCTCGCATATTTTTGAAAGATGAAAGATACTACAAATATATGGTAAGATAAATAACAATTTATATTTTTATACATACGCATACATGCATAAATGTTTATTTATTTCCCCTACACTAGACTACATATTTATCTATTATATGAAGAGCAATAATATAGTATCTG